AAAAGCCTATGGGGGGGTGTAGAGCTCAGGGGTAGAGTGCATGCTTAGCATGCAGGAGGTCCTGCGTTCAATCCTCAGTACATCTATTTTAAAAAAAAGAAATGTGGAAGCAAACTGAATGGGGGAAGAGGGCAAACAACACGGATAAGGGAATTGAAAGGAAGAATCAGAGGGGCCAAAGGAGGACAGATTAGACTGCTGGGAGTGAAGGGGATGCTGGGCGTCGCTCTGCGCTGAACCCTCACTAAGTTCCGGGTCACGTGGGCGGGGGAGCAGCTGGTCAGGTGGAAGCAAGAATCAGGCTTTTCTCTCCTCAGGGTAAAATGGAGGCTGCACTGTGCGGGCCGGCCACTCTCCTACTGGATGACAGGATGCCACCTGGGATGAGGCAGGGGACAGGCCTGTGGTGGAGTCACTCCAGAATTCCTCTCCTCACTTCAGAATTCTTCATTTCTTCTTCCTCTTGCCTCCACTTCCTGTTTTCTTCCCTTCCCATTTACAAGTAAAACTGACCAGAGCCCCAGAAATAAATGGGTTCTAGGGCTTCGTTCCCGTTACTGTCCAGGCCCAGGCCCCTGGTTCCTTGACTGTCATTTGCAAACCAAGAAGACTGTAATGAAGAAGTTTCTATATTTTTGGAATTATTAAAGCATTCCTTGTGCACAGACTGTTAATTTATTCATTATTAATTCCACATGTCTTTGAGTACCTAATAGAGTAGGAGTGTGCTATGGACGAGAAGAGAAAGCATAACTGTTGTTCATAATCCAGCTGAGGAAGCAGAGACACACGTGCATAATGGAGACAAGGAATAGATACATACAATGAATACAATAGTAATAAAATCTATAATTATTGGTTTGAAACAGTATCAGGATCAAAGTTATTCCTCCAAAGCCAACTAGTTTTGAAGTAAGAAAGCTCAGAAGTAGGTCACGGGTGGGGCTAAGGGTCTGGTATATTGAGGTAGAGAAGGGAGTGGAGGGGAGGGGAGAAACGGTGCCAGGTGCCAGTTATTTGGGGTACTTTGGGAGAACAGGCTAGAATTCAGATGATTAAAAAAGCTTCAGGATCTGCTTTGCTTGGAAGGTGCTGACATGGAGTAAAACCTGCTTAAGGACACTGCAAAGACAGAAAAGGGACAGTTGGAGGAATACCCTGGACAGAGCCACCATCAGTCCTGTCTGACTAAACTGGGGTTTTATCTTGAGCCACTCATAACCCTACTCTGAGCTTTAACTCCTTCAGCTATAAAATGAGTGATCTGACTACTCAGTGATTCCCAGGCTTTTGGATTTCGCAGACCAGTAATTTCAAAGAAAAAAAATTAAGACTGTGAAAGATTGCAACATTTTACTTTAATGCCTAAGTATTAATCAAAACAACTATCCTTTATCAGTATCTCTTCATAGGACAATTTTTAGCATCAAATTGAAGGAAGGTCATACTTGTAGGATAATACAAAGGAATAGATTTTGTCCTGTGGGGGGAAAAAAAACTTAAACCATGATTATATTGTCCTTTTCCCATTTTGCTGAGAACTAGTAAAAACATCACAGCCCGGCATGGGACTGAAGACCATTGTTTGGAAACCTCAAGGGATCTGTTCTATTTCCCCTACAAAATAGCTGACTTTTAGGATACCTAGAACAGCCCTTCTCAGGCACCATGAGCTCCAACGTTGGTGCCCTAATTGGACCAACTTTTTCCAAATTTATCTCTCCTTCTCATCTTGCCTCCCAACTTTCCACATCACCTGACCTCCACCAGCTCACATACGTAATTCACCAAAATCATGAAGGAAAGTCAGGGAATTCTTTTTAAGGATTTCATGTTAGACAATTGATGGCTTTAATGAGCTATACCTTGATATATTTAAAACTCATGCGAACACTCTTAGGTCAAAGGATTTCATCTTTAGTGGTCACATTCCACAAAGAGTTGGGAAGTTTAAATTTTTAAAGTTCTGTGGGTAGTTAGTGCTAACTACCTAGTACTCCAGTCTTCTGTGGGAGTTTGAAAATCAAGCCAGCTGCTATAAAGATGTCTGCATCACTCGATCCTGTAAACTCACCCTTTGGACTCTACCCTGAAAATACATTTGAATAGAAACACTAAACGCCAAAGACCTCTAGGCTGCCGGGCTCTGGGAGGGGAACTAGAGGCCGGGACCCGCCTGGAGTGGGAGGGGCCAAGGAGCGGTCAGAGCATCGCCCTCGCCCCCCACCCCCACTCCACCAGGCCGTCCCAGCCCCTCTCACAGCCTCTGTTTTAAAAAGTTGGTGCCTTCGCGGTTCCCACCCGGACTGACAAAACCTTCCTGGTGTGGGAGCTGAGCTCTGGACCTAGGACCGAGGCCTTGCAGGTGAGCTGGCCAGGGTGGAGGGAGGGATGGAGAAAGCCGCCAGTTGCCCCAATAACTGGGAGTCAGGGCCAGGTGACCCCCCCCAGCCCAATTCCCGAGCCAACACGTGACCACCCCCAGCCCCCCGCCCAAGCCCCGCGCAGTCAGGCGACCCCCCCTCACTTAAGGAGCTTATAAACTAATGATGAGGAAAGATGCACAAACAAATCAATAAAGAATAATGCTTTGGCGGGGGAGGGGAGCGCGTAGTAGTGGCCCGGCGGCGATGCGGCGGTGGTTCGGCACCGGGCTCTCGCTGACCGCAGGGAGACACGCGCGGTGGTCCATCTGCCGGCTTGGGGCCAGAAGTCCACCGGGCGCTGAGCCGCGGGCCAGGGCCTGGAAAGGCTGGGCACGGCGCTGGCAGCTGTGGCGCACGGGGCCAGGGCGGTTACCCGCGGTAGCTGCGAAGGAGGGAGCAGGCCAAGGGAAGGGGGTGGGGTGTCGTCCCCGCGCACACGCGCCGCGCACCGCCTGCCTGGTCCGCCTGGCTCCGCGCGGGAGGAGGGAGAGGGAGAGGGAGGGGACGGCCCGATGGCCCCGCTGCCACGTGCCCCGTAATGGCCACCGCGCGCGCCGGGGGGCGGGGCGAGCCCGGCGCGCTCGGACCGCCCCTCTGCCCGAGGTGGGGAGGGGCATGCAGCGACGGCCCCTAGTCCACCGCCTCCCACCCCTTACCCTCTTCCCAGCCCGAGGCGACTGCCGAGGAGCCTGCGGCGGGCAGAATGGCGGCGGTCGCTGAGGAGGCGCGACCCCCGATCAGGCCACCTCCTCTCCATGCCGGACCATGAACTCAACCCACAGACCCCTGGTGCCCGCGTCCGGCGGGGCCTCCCGTAACCTCGTCATATTCGGTCAGTAGCGCCTGGGCCCTGAGACTGCAGGAGTCAAGGGGTTGCGATACTGAGTGCGGAGTAATGGTGATGGGGTGTAGTAAGACAATGGTGGAGGTAAAGGGGAAAGTTACAGAGCTTGGCTGGGCCAAGTGGTTAGTGATGGCAGGTGGGAGTGTAGCGGGGTGATGGGAGTGCAGAGTGGGGAGTAACTGGGGACAGCTGTGGTATTTACGTGTGGGGTGGAACAGGTCCGTTGCCATTGGATGTGAGGGGTGCAGAGTAGCTGGCTTCCTAGCATGAATTAGAATAGGAGCAGGGTGAGACCTGCTGGTGGGGAAGAGAGGGAGAAGGGGCTAGGGGCTGTGATTGAGTAGTGGGACTAAGGACAGGTCTTGAGAAGAGAGCGAGGCGCTGTTTGCTCAGAACCAGAGTGCGGTGTTTGTGGTGTGCTTTAGAGAGAGAGGGAGAGACCCAGAAACCTGGAGGGTAGTGCACTTGTAATAGAGGAGAACAAATCTGACTCTGTTGGATCTGTTCCTTTAGCTCTAACCACTGTGCCCTGTTTTCTAGGCTTATTTTTGCTAGCTCTGTACCTTTTATAAATGAATGTTGCCTGTAGCCTGTCTGGTAAACAGGAGAGCCTCTTCTCAAGGCTCTGACCTTTCAGGATATTAACACTTCTGCACTTATATAAAGATAACACGTTGCAGAATAGAAAGTAACCTTTGTTTTGTTGGAGGTTTTGCAGGAGCACCATGACCTGGCCCATGTGGACAGCTGCAGGAACAAAGAATTCCTACAGCAAGAAGTTGCAACAACCAACCCCCCCCCTTTTTTTTATCTATAAAAGCAGCCTGTATTCTGACTGGGAGGATGGTTCCCCAAGACATTAGTCGGCCATCCTCTCAGTCTGCCAGCTTTCCAAATGAAGTCGCTATTCCTTGCCCCAACACCTCATATCCTGATTTATTGGCCTGTTATGTGGTTAGTAGAGTTTGGACTCGATAACACACTGGGGAGGAGTTCAGGAAGGGCAGGACCAAAGGCTTGTTCCCCCATTGTCTGCTGGTCCCCTCCTTCCCCACCCAGCAGAAGATGAGGCCCTGATGAGAAAGGTGTTTGTGAAGAGAGAAACAGGTCCAGGTCTCTAGATGCTGTTATGGTTTTGGAGGGCCCAGCCGGCTTATGGGGCTCCAGTGCCCCAGTGGTAGGGGATGGGATTGTCCTAGTGTCTTGAGTCCCTTCCAGTGTTGGCTGCTTTGTTCCTCTCCTGTTGCCTCCATGTCTACCTTTTCTTTTGTCAGCACATCACAGAGTCAGGTCTTGAGGCCAGTGCCTCACACAGGGGCTCCCCTAGGCCAGCCTTCTGAAGGCATGGGCGGGGGTGAGGTGGGGAGACTCAGCCCAGGTCAGATGGATCTGGGTCAGAGGGAAGTATGGAACGTTGGGGACCAGGGCTAGGGCGTCTCTCTTCTCTCTTCTTGGTCTTCCCCTAGCAGGGGCCTCCTCTGCTGGTTCCACTTCCCCCAGGGAGCTGGCAGTGAGAAGGACGCCCACTCCCAGCCCGGGCCAGCCCCAGGAGTCCAGCCAGCAGTGGGACCCAGCCTAAGGCTGGCCCTCCTACCACCTAGCTCCTGGAGCAGGAGATTGGACCTCTAGGACTGGTCCCCTGGTGAGGGAAGAACTGTCCTGTGCATATTCTCAAGGAGACACCTGGCACTTCTGCCTTCCCTGGGCAGAGGCTGGTAATGATTCTCTTGTCTTCCTCTTAGTCTATGCCTTTTCTTTGGAGGAGTTGACCACATTCTCCCATCTTTTGGGCAAGAGGACTGGATGAAAAAACAAAAATAATGCTTTGACTTTATTTGTATTATTTAAATTTTTATGAATATATTTCTATACTACATCCTATCTAAACTTGAAATAGAGATTTAAGAAAGAACTAGCAATGTAAGAAATCCACAGTAATGTGTAAGTTATTCAGAGTTAACACAAGATATTTGCACTCTCAAAGAAGCTTGCTAATGCAGATGATGCTAAAAGAATGCTAATTCTTTTAGTTGTTTATAAAATATATAGAGGTATGTGTGTTCCTTCTCACAGAGGTTAGTAACTTGGGGAGCGGGGCTGCTACAGATTCAGGTCCTACTTCAGTGGCAGGTCCACTTATCTCCTCTTCAGGTCATATTCTCAAGCAGGAGCTACAGGATGACAGGACTAAAACAATTTACTTCCTTTGCGTACCCACAAACCTGTAAGAGGCTTCTGCAGGACTTCCTTGGTTCCTTTCATCATCACCTTCACCACCAGAGGTCAGGGAAACCTTCCGATTAGTCAGGGGCCCTGGAAGGGATACAGAAAAGTATTGATTTGAAACTAATAACATTTATTTAGGGCTTCCTATGAACTCATTCCTTAAAATGTGGCCCTATTTAATCTTCATAACCACCCCATGAAATTGGTATTGAAAAATCCCAGTTGTATCCAAAGTAAGTCTCTGTGTCAAGTTGTGATATTTTTAGGTCTCTTTTGTCTTTAGGTTCGTCTGGGCACCAGACATAAGATGGTTCAACCTAATGCCCTTGCCCTGAGCAGCTCCAGATGCCAAGAATTGGCCAATTACTACTTTGGATTCAATGGATGGTCAAAAAGGATCATAAAGGTAAAGTGTAGATTTTCTTTGACTAACCAGACTCCTTTCAACATTGAAATCCTAGACTTCAGAGAGAAGACTAGAACTGGGTTGTGGGGAGATGTGAGAGACCTCCAAGTGGAAGTGTCTGAGCATTGACCTGCCACGTAAAATTAATGGTAATCTCAATGACTTGGTGGTGGTGTTCATAATTTTCTCTGGTGTTTGTATGGTATATAATAAAAAACAGTTGTCCATATCTAGTAATTCATTTGCAAGTCTTACTTGATTTTGAAGCAACAGGACCCCTCAACTATTAACTGGGCTTGCTGGAGTCTAGTTTTTATTTCTAATAACAAAATGTTTTGAAATCTTGCATTTAGTTGGAAGTCTGGGGTATGGATATAACTCAGTGGTAGAGCATGTGCTTAGCATGCATGAGGTCCCAGGTTCAATCCCTAGTACCTCCATTAAAAAACACCCAAAAGACAAAAAAACTCATCACTGAAATCCTACCAGCTTCAGGATCTTTCTGACCTTGAAGAAAGGGAAAATGAAGATATTGTGGCCCCAGTTCAGAAGCAAAGCCTGAAGTTCTTATGAACTTTAGAGGTGGTGTTGCCACCCCATGAGGGCAGGGATCCTGGAGCTGGCATGGCCGAGGAACCCTTGCACAAGCTGGAGGAAGGTCTGTTTTCCAGTGTGTGGTGGGTAGTGAGGCGGTGGGGTTTCTCCTTTTTCCTTTCTTTCTGATACTTTTTTTCAGGTACAACATCACCCTTGCTCAGCAACTAAAGCGCTGGGCAGAGGTTTTCTGCCTTACAGTATAGATTCTTATGTTAGGCAATGCCTGACAGAAACTTTAACTTTAAAATTTTAGAGCTGACTGCCGGTCAAGAAGCTTAGTCAGAGGGAAATTTTTTCCCCCATTTTTGGTTAATAATTTATGCTAAAATAGTCCTTTCCAATACAGATCTTTTGTAGCCTTCAGTTACCCCAACAAAATCATCATCTAAAGATTTAAACTCTTGTGTAAATGTTCAGTCCTTTGCCTCCTATACAAGGACTTGAGTGGAGAAATTCAAATGTAGATCCCTAGAAAGGTTTTTCCAGCTGGTACTGAGTTTTTTCCCTAGAACCCGTGGCAGTTGGGGTTAGGGTTCTAAGTCAGAGGCAGGTCTGTTAGTTAATGGAGTGGAGGAGGCTCCACCATCCACCTGAGTGGCTGATGCTCTGGGAGGGGCCAGATCATCTGCACTACCACCAGATCTGTCTCATTGTGTGATTCCAGCCGTTTATGCATGGGAGAGCAGGAGTGTAGCTTCAACTTGTCCGTTTGAAATCTGAGTGATGTGAGAATTGTGCCACATTCTTGGCTTGTATCTCCCGTCTAGTACTTCAGGAACTTCCAGAATCGATCTGGGCAGTAAAAATGTGCCCTGCCGGGATATGTCTGTTAACAGAGCCATTCGACCACACGCTTGTGTTGTGCCTACCCTTAGTTGCTACGATAATGATCTAAGAATCACAGATGCATTTTTCTTTTAAATGTACAACATAAAAATCAGTTATTCAGATAGGCATTTTAAATCCATTTGTTTTTCTTGGGTTTAGGGCCATTATCATTCGGAAGATAACCCAGAAGCTTGCTACTCAAAAGTCTATGAGGGATGCATTCCAGAAACTGCTGATTGTGGTTTTAGGTAAGACTTTTTTTTTTTTTTTTTGAAGGGGAGATGATTAGGTTTATTCATTTATTTCTTTGTTTTTAGAGGAGGTGCTGGGGGTTGAACCCAGGGCCTCGTGCTTGCCAAGCATGTGCTCTGCCACTTGAGCTATACCCTCCCCATGCTAAGACTTTTTGGTTGTCCTTGAGGTGCTTCAGTTTCAAGGAGTAAATACACTTATTTGAAAAGTTAATTGGATGAAAATAATTGTTACCTAAAACACTATATATTCTTTCAGTCACTAAATTCTTTCATAGCAGTAGTCTCAAATTTGCTCTCTGTGGCATTTCTGAGAAGAATGACAGCAAGTATTGTCCCCAGCATGCAGATGCAGACCGCCTTGTCCCAGTTCACACAGAGAGTGCTCCATCCAGCTCTTCTTTTTCAATCGCTTGCTTATACAGGATGGTAGAGTGATTATAAGCCTTGGACACAAGTGTTTGAGTCCTAACTCTGTTAGATTTTTTTTTAATGCAATTTTAGGCTTTCTAGCCAGAGAGATTTGAAGGTATTTATTATCTCTAAGCTGCATTGTCTTTATCTGCAAAATTCGGTTAGTCATTCAGCTCACCTATGGGGGATCGTGTAAGAGTAATGAGATGGTGAATGTAAAAAGCTTAGAACTGTGCCTGGAACATGGTAAGCAGACAAAATATATTGACTGTTATTATTATCATTGTTGTTTCCCTGTTGAAGGGTTTATTAGATTATGTTCTTGGAATCAATTCAGTTTCAGTTTTCATCTCATGTGTTGTATGAATATGATTCTCATAATACTTAGCTACGTTTTTGTGAGCCTTGAAAGTGGTCATGCTGTTAAATGGCATCGATTGTGTTCCCTATTGAGTTACACAGTGGTGAGAACGTCACAGGCTCCGCCCAAAGGAAACTTTATGGTTGTCCATTCCTGGAGCAGAGTCATTCCCCTGCATCACAGCCCTGCAGACTGAGAGACTGAGAAAGCCTAGTGAAGTTGTCAGAGACCTTACTTGCTTGTTAAGAGTTGACCGTGGATGGGTCTCAGCCTCCCAGCCCAGGCAGTCCTTCCTGTGAAGGTTGACTTCCCTGGTCACCAGGCAGAATCCCCATCAGCTGTCAACTTTTGATTAACAACCTTTAAGAACCAAACTAAATGTCTGGGTTGTTGGCCTGTTCCTGACATGCTGAAGGTATTCCTTGCTTGCACTCACAACTCCTTAGACAAGAAAGCCTTGTGACTCTAGTTTGCCTTGAGGGAAGTTGTATTGTCCAAAGGGTACGTGGGCCAGTCTCTGCCAGCAGCGTTCAGATGCACTCTCTCTTTTCTCTCCCTTCCCAAAGCTTTGTTTATTGTATCTGGCAGAATTTTGGCCCCAAGGAGTAAACAGTTGCCTTCTTCTTTTTTTTTTTTTCTCTGTGAGTTATCATAAGATTTTGTGTATATTTCCCTGTGCTATACAGTGTAATCTTGCTTATCTGTTCTACAATTTTGAACTCCCAGTCTATCCCTTCCCACCCTCCACCCCCCAGTTGCCTTCTTCTAATATGAAGTTATCTATTATAGTCTGATGGTGTCCATCCCAGGTTTGAACTCACTCTGACCCCCACCTAATGCCTCACTTTTTAATCATCTTATGATTGAACATTTTTGTTTCTGACAGCTTTTACTTCCTCAGTTCTTAATTTCTAAGACCATAAAGTTCTTTGAACCAAGCAAAGTTGGTACTTCTTATATACATTTTCGCAAATAGTTGTGATAAAAACTGAAGTGTCAGATGAGGGAACTGCTAGAAAATGCTCTTATTTTCTGCTTTTACAAATCAAAAGAATGTCTGATTATTGGGTGCTACCGTTGTATACAGGAAGCTTTAGAACAAAATTCTGAACTGACCCTTGTTAACTTTATTTCAGAAAGTGGTAAAATGGCTGTGGTGTACAGACCCTGTGAAGAGGTCACAGGTGCTAGGACTGAAGAGGAAGTACAGGATTTAATTCAAGTATGTGGAGATAAAAACTCGAGGGGCACCCAGCCAGTGTCGCCATAATTCAAAACAACCAGCAGGATTTGGAAGACTTTGGCTTGTCCACTCAGCTGTGCCATCCTTAGGGAAATGTGAAACTCTGAAAATGCTTTTGAGGCAAGGAATTTCCGGGGCTTTTCCTGAAGTCATGACCCTTGGCTCTGACCCCTTATTTGAAATTTGGAGAGCAGGACTGAGGGCCACCAGCATGCTTCTGCAGTTGTGGACACAGGGAAAGACACAGGCCTTTTAAAACTCCCCACAAGCAGAATCCCAGGCATTTAGGAACCAAGTAACTATGGCCTTAAGGGGGATTATGCTGCAGCGTTTGGAAACTACGAATGCCTTTCAAATAAGGTGTGTTGTTACCCAGATCTCAGCATCACATATTTATCTTATGTGAAATATTTTGCTGAAAAACCTTTCTACACATCAATTATATGGATGCCCTGAATTAGGGATTAAGTTGTCAAAGTAATTTCTGAAAGAAAATAGTAATGACCTGCACATAAGATTTTTTTAAGGAGTAAAAATGTGTTTCATGTCACTGAGAGCTTAATGTGCAGCTAGATTTCTAATTATGTAACTCTCCCCAGCATTGCCAAGTTTGTTATGAAGAGAAGAAAGTAGAGAAAGAAAAGATGGTTATGTTCTGAAAGGGTATTAGAAGTTTTTTCTGCACAAGATAATTATTTTATTTCAATTTATATCAAATTATTTTAAATTCAGCTTAAATGAGGGACACTTCAATCATGTCCGTGTTTGGGCTTTAAGAAGTCTAGCTTCCACAACACTGTAAAATGATTATGAATCAATAAAAATGTAAAAAAAAAAAAAAAAAAAGAAGTCTAGCTTCTTGTGAAATGTGAGAGGAAGGGATTCAGTATCGATAACTGAAGTTTTCAGAAAGCTGAGTATAACAACAGACCCATTCCTCATCGGCCAATCTTGGAATCAATTCCATTTAAAAACCATTATGTGCTTGACGCTGGGAATAAGATCAAGCTCCTACTCCATGGAATTCTATGGCCAGAGGGTGTGCCAGACAGTTAAACAGGGCTAAAATTAAAGAGATGATTATATGGGCTGCGAAGGAAGTTAAGTGGGTGCTAGTTGCAGTATTTCGAGAAAATTATTTGACATGCTGAATTTACTTTTTGAGAGGGAAGAGGTAATTAGGTTTTTATTTATTTAGTTACATATATTCTGTTTCTTAGAAATATATTTTTATTGAAGTATAGTCAGTTTACAGTATTGTGTCAATTCCTGGTTTACAGCACAGTACTTTCATCATATTGGAACATACATATTTTCGTTTTCATATTCTTTTTAGCCATAAGTTACTAGAAGATACTGAATATAGTTCCCTGTGCTGTAT